AGAGCAAAGTGGTCTCAGAACAAAGTGGTCTCAGAGCCCATGGTGAGGTCAGGACGCCACAATATTAATTAATAGAAAAAAACTTGGACATGGTGGGAAGAAAACAGGTCTGCCAGGAAGGAACCTCCACAGAACCAGGCTCCATCCTCCTCCACCCGCCTCCATCACCTCCATCCTCCTCCACCCGCCTCCATCACCTCCATCCTCCTCCACCCGCCTCCATCACCTCCATCCGCCTCCACCCGCCTCCACCTGCTGGAGTGAGGGGTAGAGAACAGACGAACACACTCTAGGCAGATGTGCAGAACCTTGGCGCTGGAGCCAGAGGTACCTGCAGAACCTGCTGTAGACACGCTGATCACTTCCTGTGCAGCAGCAGATGACTGAGCCGGGACTGTGAAGGTCCACTCACACCTGGTCCTGAAGGAAAGGCCGCGTCAGTCTCCAGAAATGTTGCAGCTGCTGGACAAGTTGCTGAAGTCATCAGACATTTTCAGACCGTGCTTCTGTTGCTTTGTGCCCGGCCAGTGTACTGTGCAGTGCTGGAGCGCCCCCTGCAGGAGCTGAGGGAGGAGCTGCAGACGGAGGTAACAGAAGCGCTGGCGTCTTACCGAAAACACTGCTGCTCTGCCTCCGTATCTGCTGGACAGGTGAGGTTCCTACACACAGAGCATCTGTTTATACGCTTATATTCCTTCATGTATAATTCCAGTTGTTTTCTGTCCTAACTGCCCCAAAGCAACACACGCAGTCGACTCTCACGCCTCACAATGTTTTATAGCAACGATCACAGTCCAGAGTCTGGACAGGTGACTCCAGGGTCAAGAAAGGTTCAAGCACTCATACAGGCGCACTAAAGACTTCCCTCTGCTCACATCTGCTGGGCGCTCTTCGTCCACCCGGACACAGTGTCCATCGTTTGTTTTGGTTCGAACCAACACAACCAAAGTTCCTGTTCCAGGCGGTGCCGTCTCTGTGTTGTCCTTCAGTGAGTGCTGCTGCTAAGACTTCCTCAGTGGAAACCCAGCAGAGCTCGCTCAGCACGGAGCTCCACACGCAGAGCAGTGAATACAACAACACCTCTTATAACATTTTCACATTATTTTGCTGCCTTATCCACGTTATTTAAGATAAGATCAGCCTTTATTTATCTCACAGTGGAGAAATTCACATTGTTGTTAGCAGCATTAAACACAGAGAGACACACATACGAGACAGAAAAAATGTACATATAAATATACAAGTATAAGAAATAGTGCAAACATCGTGCATGGTGTTTTCGGGGTTACGGTAAATACTCTTCTTGTTACTGTTCTACTTTATTCCTTTATTCCTCATACAGATTCACTGGAGTCCGATTCCTTGTTAGCGTGTACAAACTTGGCCAATGCAGTTGATTCTGATCCGATCCTTCTCCATCCCCCCAGTGTCCATGGACACAAACTGAGCTGTGCTTGTGTCCTGCAGCTGGTCCTTCCTCAGTACCTGCGAGCGCTTCCTGTTTACATCAACAGTCTGAGGAAGAGCGAGGTGCTGCTGCCGGGCCTCAGGAGCTCCGTCCACCAGCGACTGCAGCAGCGCTGTCAGGTGCTCAGCATGGACACCTGCAGCACCGCCACGCACTTCTACCCCCTGCTGCTGCCTCTGGTCAGTGTCCGTTCATCAGATCAGTAAAGAGCAGAAGGAGGCTCATGTGTCGCAGCAGCTTATCTGATCGTGGAGCATGAACTAGAGAACGTATGTCCTCGCTGTATACTGGGGTGTTTTTAGTGGAGTTTAAACTATTTTAAGTATAAATCTGCGCTCCATGCAGTAAACATGTGACTGATTGAAAAAGCAAAGTGCTGTTTGTGCTTCTGTGAGACTGAAACCAAACCAGGAGCAGCAACGGGATGTTAAACAGGAAACATATTGACAAGGTCAGTACAAGGCAGTGGGAGCCTGAAAAGAAGCCACAAAACAACGAGACTGATTTGATTTGCGTCTGCTTCTGTTCAGTATGAACAGATCTACATGAGCAGGAGCTCTTCATGTGTCTCCAGCTCCATGCCACTGTGCTGCCTGATGGGTCCGGGCAGTGGGGAGGCAGCAGTGCTTCAGTGCACATTTAAATGCTCTTGATCACTGCATTCTTGTGAAGGACTGAATTTAGCAGCTTTGCTTGTCACAAAATAAATCTCTGGTTTGACGTATATTTTAGCAGCGCATGATGTACTTAAATAATCTTTCCCATCCACTAACCTGTAATCCTTTGAACAAGTCGTCGTGTGTGTTCGGCCTGACTGGAAGCAGAACTCATGCCGTCTGTTGCTTCCTGCGGCTGCTTTGTGGACAGCCTGCAGGAGCTGCTATTACAGGAGCAGCAGTCTGCTAACAAGAGAGACAGAACAAACATCGGCATGCCTACAAGCCTGCCGTTTGGTTTCCAGATATGACAGCACGTCTCTGACCTCAGGATGCTGTCCAACACATTGCATTACCTTTGTCACCTTTCGTAGCGCTGGACTTTCAAGTCAGTGAACTTGTTCCAGATGCTTCTAAGACATTTATTCTTACAGATTTTTCTTTTCTTTTCTCTCCTGCAGCCGCTGGCATTGGACAGCTCCAACCCTTGGAGCCCAGAGGGGGCGCTGCGCTGCTCTGCTGCCAGCCTGGAGCCCAGAGGTCTGTATCTGGTCCATGCACCCCTCACCCTGCTGCTCTGGGTGGGCACCCAGGTCCCAGCATGCACGCTGGTGGAGCTCTTCAACACCAGTTGCTTTTCCTCCCTGCCCTCTGGAGAGGTGAGAAAATACAGAAAGGCTGAGGCATATCCTGCATCGCAGCGCTGCTTCATATGTGATGTCCTAATAACAAAAAAAGGGCCACTTGCATGTGATAACTCCATGTTCATGGAAAACAGGTCTCTGAGCAGCTGCAACAGCTTCCATGTAAAGTATTAAAACTGCTGCTTTTTGGATGCCTTTTCTACATTTCCATTTAGCAGCACTTTTATCCAAAGCGACGTCCTTTCTAGGAATATATGGGGATGTGTGATTGAAAACAACAATAATGCTTCTCACCACTGACTGCAGCCACTGATTAACCCCAAGCTTAACCCAACAGGCTCTCAGCGCAGCACAAGTGGAGATTCTGTGATTCTGAATGGTCACAACGTTCACCACAGTTTTTACAGGATGACCAGTCCACTGTGGAGTCTTTTTCTGATGGTTTATGTTTGTATTCGTGTGCTCCTTCAGACCAAGCTGCCGGTTCTGGAAAACCCTCTTTCCATCAGCGTTCGGTTGCTCATCAACTCGCTGAACTCCGAGGCAGCGTGCAGCCGCAAGGTGAGCTGCTGGCTGGAGCTGCAGAGGAACATGAAATGTGTTTATGAGTCAGGCCAGCATGACCTCCAGCTGCACAGCTGCTGTCTCAGTTTGTCCATCTTATTATCTCTCATTTCTCTTCCTGCCACTCGAGGATTTTGTCTAGTTTTGCATACATGTAAGGAACAATGATGGGAAACAGGAACGCTGAGCTATAGAGATACTCAGTGCTTTGTATGTGTGGAAGTAAAGCAGCCGCTAACAACTAGGGATGGACTGATACCTCTTTTTGATTTCCGATACCGATACTTCAACTTTGAGTATCTGCCGATACCGATACC